CGTATGTACGTAGTTACATAAAAGATAATGGGAAATGTTTTATTATTATTCGCTGATTACACATTCTATGCATATTGGATAATTCAATCATTAATTGTTAAAATTGATTTATTAATAAGTTACCAATTTCATGTTAACAACTAATAATTAAAAATCCCCATCGCTAGACATACTTGAGATCATTTCGTGTCCTAAAGTCTATTTTACTATAGTATTTTCTCTTAGAAATTAGACAATAGAATAAGGCAGATTCTTCTATAAAGTCTACTGACAGCACCTGGATCAACTGAGCTAACCGATTTAGCTGAGCTGCCAGCTTTTTATTAGAGTTTGATCAATCTAATAGAGAAGTTTTTCATTTCCAAACTAAACCTACTCCTTTTAATGCATATCGATATTTAGCAAATAAATTAAATTAGAATATACTTTTGATAAGACTTTAGTTCTATCCATAAACTTTTTTCATATTAAAATGCCAAATCAAACTATTGAAAATTTATGTGACTTATATAACAAAGAACATAGGAAAGGAAAAAATACAAAATTAATTCTTGACCTAATGGACCAGTTTTTAGTAGAAAAACATCAAAACACGAATGATATAATCAAATGGTGTTTATATAATGACGAAAGTCAAATAAATCCTACAATTCAATGTATTCTTGCTGATTGTTACCGTTTTGGTAAATGGATTGAAAAAGACGAAAGTAAATGCTTTATTTATTATAAAAAGTCAGCCGAGAGGATGCATGCTGTTGGGATGCTTAAAATTGGTAATTGCTATCAATATGGGATCGGAATTGAAAAAGATGGATATAAGGCATTTGAATATTATGAAAAAGCAGAGGAACATCCTGGTAGATCAAATAATCTTGGTAATTGCTATCGATATGGAATTGGAACAGAATAAAGCATTTAGTTATTATCAAGAATCAGCTGAAATGGGGCATGCTGATGGATTAAATAATCTTGGCAATTGCTATCGGTATGGAACTGGTGTAGAAAAAAATGACGATAAGGCATTCATTTATTATCGAAAGGCTGTAGAAATAGGACATGATTGCGGATTAAATAATCTTGGCAATTGCTATCGATATGGAATTGGAGTTAAAAAGGATGAGCATAAGGCATTCATTTATTATCAAAAGGCAGCTGAGATTGGACATGCGGATGGATTAAATAATCTTGGCACCTGTTATCGATATGGAATTGGAGTTAAAAATAATAAACACAAGGCATTTATTAATTTTAAAAAAGCAGCTGAGATTGGGAATGCCAAAGGAATAGTTAATGTTGGTAATTGCTACCGAAATGGAACTGGAGTGCCAATAAATTTACAAAAAGCCAACTATTGGCATCTAAAGTAAGTATATTATTTGATAATCCTATGTATTTTACAATGGTCACATTTTTTTAAAGATGTTAAATTTTTGCAGAAACTCATTATCAGGTAACTTGTTTTTTAATCTATTAACGTTATCTGCTTAAAATTTACAAATGCAACCATATTTTAAATCACTTTAGGTACACATGAATGGACACATAATTTTGACAATGATGACGATTTAAAGAAAATAATGATTGAAAATGAATTATTGTGGATTCCTTATGATAAATTTGAAAATGTCAAAGAAATAGGAAAAGGTAGATTTTCTACCGTATTTTATGCTAAGTGGTTACGTGAAGATCGAAAGACAATATCTGTTGCACTTAAGTTAATTAATGGATCAAAAGATAATCGAGAATTTATAAAAGAGGTAGATTGATTTAACGCTTGTGCTAAATTATTATTAACAACCTATCGTTTAATCTTTATAATAACCGATTATTATTTTTTTCAAAAAATTTAAGTTTAAGACACATTGTGATATTTGTCGTAAAAATCCTGCTTTTTTAAAGTGCTATGGATTGTCAAAGCATGAAAAATCTGAAGATTATATGCTTGTCATAGAATATGCACGGAAACGTTCCTTACGTGGCAATCTTCAATCGATAGTATGTATGAGATGGGAAAAAAAGTTGAATTTGCTACATTGCATTGCATCTGATCTTAAAATAATTCATTCTCAAAAAATTATTCACCGAGATTTACACAGCGGTAATATTTTGCAAGACAATTTACATAGTGCGTACATTGCAGATTTAGGGCTTTCGATATCACTAAATGATGAAAAGTGTGGAGTTTATGGAATTTTACCTTATATTGCTCCAGAAATATTGTATTCAAACGGAAAGGAATACACTCAAAAATCAGATATTTACTCATTTGGAACAATTATGTCAGAAGTTTTTACTGGGTATCCTTCATATCATGATATTTCACATGATGAGGATCTAGCAATTAAAATTTGTCTAGGCTATAGACCTGAAATTAAATGTGAAATTCCCGGACTACTTTTGGATTTGATGAATAAATGCTTAGACGCTAAACTTCAAAACCGACCGACCGCTGAAGAATTAGTTAAAATGCTGAAACAATTTCATGATAATTTGGGCAACGAAGAAACTGAATTATATAAGCAGGTTAAAGAAATTAAAAATTCTGGCAAAAATTCCAATCAAGTCATGTCGACACGGCCCAACTACCAGACACATAAACAAGCTATTTATTTAAGTCGACTTTTGAAATATCAAAATCTCCCTAAACCAATAAATGCTAAACCAGTAGTTGCAGGTAAGAATATCATCCAATAAAAATATTGACTTTAAAGTATTATTTTTTCATACTTATTAACAGTTAAACTTGTTTTAGTAAGCAAATCTGTTGAACGCCCAAACTTTGACTAATGTTTTAATGATAGTTAATATTTGATAGCATTTGTAATTAATAATTGATTTTTTTTTATTGTTTTTAAATCAAATGTATGTGCTGTATATATCAATGTCATTTATATAAACATAAATGTTTTATAGTCGTATTGTACTGTATATTACATTTTTCTATATATCGAAAACTCGCTGCGAAATAAATAAATACTTATAGTTGGTTTAAATTGAAATTATCTTAATCTGGTACATAAATGATAAAGCGGCTAATTAACCTAATAGATCATTTACGCAACTCAATTTAAATATATAATAATATATATTCCAAACACTAAAGGACAACAAATAATACTAGTAAAATGGTGGCGTGGATCCCTAATTATCAGCTTTTAAAATTTAAATTGTCTTTAAATTTCAGGACCTTAATGAGATTATTAAGAAACTAATTTTGATTTATACTAGCAAATTCATTAATTATATTAACAGACAGTCACAAAATACATAATTTCCTAATGCAGGTGAAATTATAATAATTACGTTGAAGATATTGAAAATCATAATTGCTAGTTACAGCTACTTTTATAATTCCTGGAACACCTGATAAAAATTGACCGAATGATTTTTCGGCTGATCCATATAATAATAAAAATAATACGTAAAAGCTATTTTGGTATCATAATGATAATTTTACAATCGTTATAACAATAATGTCAACTTTTTTAAATTTTCGTTCAAATGCTTGTCCAACACGTTTGGTGTGCTTAGTTTGTACAAAAATTTATGGAAAAGAAAAGGATCAGAATATAAATTAGACTTTTATAACAAATATATTACACGAACAGGTGCCTCTATGAAAAAAGTTAGATATGAACATGAATTTGTTGACTGGTTTAAAAATGATCTCTAGTTAAGATTCCAAGCGACCAATATTTGTCGAGAATGCATGAAGAATTATGATAAACGAAATCCAAGTAAAAAATTTTATATGTTTATATTTGTTATATATTTTTCATCTTCGACAAGAAACGAAAAATAATTAGAAATAAATAAATGCTTTCGTTTGAACAAAAATGGATCTTGCCAAAGAATAAGAATTGAAGTTTTATACAATTTTTTTAAAAACTAATTTTCGTCGAAAAATAATTAGAAATGAATAAAGGCTTTGTTTGAACGAAAACAAATCTTGCCAATGAAATTTTATACAATTTTTTAAACCCGAATTTTCGTCGAAAAATAATTAGAAATGAATAAAGGCATAGTTTAAGCAAAAAATGGATCGTGCCAAAGAATAGGATTGAAATTTTACGACTTACAAGTGCGCATGTCAATATTTAGTTATTGTAATATATATTAGTCACCTGATTACGTATTGGATATATTTGTTACTGAATCTTATTATTCCCGAAATATATAACTTCACCGGGATCGGCCGAAAAATCATTCGGTCAATTTTTATCAGGAGTTCCAGGAATTATGAAAGTAGCTATAAATTTTATTTACCAAACCCATATGGTCCCGGAAGGTCATTTTCTTAACAAAAATCACATATACTTTATATTGTGATTCATTATTTTGTCTAATACATGATTAAAATTTTTTGAACCAACCCTCAATTGAAAAATTTTTGGCAATTTGCTTCACTAAGTATAATATTCGTTTTTTTTTTAGTTAATTAACAAAGTAACAAAAAATTTTCTAGCTTTTTTTTTTCGTTTATTTATTCATATTCAAAGTATTTTTGAATTCTACAAATTAATAAAAATTAATAGGATTCAAAAATGGTCTTGAATATTTAAATTAACCAAACCATTATTTGGATATCTTCACTCAAAATTCAAGCAATATTAAAAATTTTAGTAGGATAAAAATTGATTAGACTAAAATAATTTTTTAGAACAACTTTAAACACAAATAAATTTCGAATTAACAAAAGTTGACTAACGTCAAAATAACAAAAGCAATTGATAAAAAGTAATCACAGATTTCTAATAATATTTTCGAATACTAAGCAAGCTTTTATTTTCATATATTTTAATATAAGCTGACTATTTTGGAGTATTTTAACTCTCCCGGAGGTGAAAACTCACCGGGCGCTATATCTCAGAAACGTACTAAGTCAGGATCCTCGAAAACCTCACGAGAACTGAACTCGGGACATTATATCAAATCTACGTTATATAAAACTCCTCCTTTATTTTAAAACCGCACCCTAACTCTTTTATCTTTGGTTAAATCTAAACTATTTCGACTATTTTTTCACGAATAATAAATTCTATTATCTTTGAATGAAAATTGATAACACTTTTCTCAGGGTGATACGAAAATATGTTAGTAGCTAGTAGAAAGTTAGCAACCTTCGCATCATTCACAATCTTATGATATTCAAGAAATCCGATTTGTCCTTTCTCAAGTAAAACGTTAACAACCTTTTTCGCAATATCATGATAACGGCCTCCAGGATTTATACCAGCTTCTGTAAAAGTTGCTTCATGACGTTTCACTAGTGTTTCCTTGCATTCTATGTTAAATAATAAAATACATGAGCACACTATGTAGACAAGACGAACAATTCAACAAACACCAACCCTCAAACGATGGAGTTTCCGCAAACAAGTCAACTGCAGTTATAAGATGTTCAATTCGGCCACCAAGGAGGTTATAAAATTGCTCTGCTTCTCTTAAGGGAATTCCACTTTTATTTACTAGGTAATCCATTGATTCAACCTTTGTCATGTCTCCAATTTCAAAAGTTCGAGTTGCCCGAGACCATGAACTTCTTCCTGAAAGATAGATAAATATATATCATAATAAACTGTATGTTTTCTATACTAAAGATTGAAGCCATTTAACCGTATAAAATTTTTTTTCATAGTTTCTGGCTGATTTTTTTTATGTTGATTATGTGCCAAAATTATTTTACAGCAGTTTTCATAAATTCTGAGACACTTTAAAATTTTGTGAGTTAGATGATCCATAAGACAGAACCGAAGGATTTCGGAAGCGAGCAAAATTTTCAAATGTCCCAGAATTTATAAAAACAGCTGTAATGCCGACCGAATTAAATGATTCATATGGTTAAACGACTAGAAAAATTTTTAAGTGGTTCCAATCCCTATCCCATACCTTGCATTCTCTTAACAGTCCCCTCACTAGTCACAAATAAAGTAATATACTCTGAAACATCAGCATGATCTTTTGCATCATCTTGAAGCACATCAAGTAGTTTGGGATTCTTAAGAGCAAGACGATTGACATTATCGTATATAATAACAGCAGGCTTTCCATATGTTTTCAAATAGGTCTCAGCGCCACGCTTAAAAGAGTCAAGAGCTCTTACCCACTTTGGATCTTGAGAAATACCTACATAGTGTTTATTCAAAGTAAATAGCAAGTAAAATTAAAATTTCAGCAAATTACTCAGTGTACCTGATTTTAAAGGGATTCCACAAATCTTTCGAAGCAGAGCTGATGTTAATGAGATAGGTTTGTCGAATGATATGTTTAAAGCTTTGGCAAATTCATCCCCAAAATTTTCAAAATTAGCAGGTACGTCGACATAAATCACTCCACGACTGACTTTCTTTGCCGCTTTGCGAACTAGGGTCGATTTACCCACGCCATGTGATCCTGAAATAGTACGGTACAAACTATATTCTTTGTCTGGTGTAAGCATGGTCTTGATTTTATTAACAATTTTCTCACGGGGAATGAATTTCTCGGGAGGTTCTTCAAGAGTTTTTTTTGAGCCAGTAGCAAAAGCATTGAAGAGGGTATAATCACTATAGCGTCTGCGACATTCAGCGATGACAAGATCCATAGAAATGATTCCCAGGATGATTTTACCCACCTGTAAAAATAAAAATGAATTATACTACTTATAATATATATATATATATATATACCATACCGTTAGGCGCTTTACAATGTTTTTTACGAACACGGGTGTATTTTTAATTGACTTATTTGGCGGATTTGAAGGCGGTGTTGCTGAATATTGGGTAGCTCCATGAAGAAAAAAGATATGCGATGAGGTTTAAAGTACCGTAATGGTTGGATATGAATCATGGTTGTTTATTAATTTTTTCGAAGTGCGATCTTTAGGCATTATAATACAAGATTTTGCATAGGCAAAATATTATCGGCGCTCATAGACGGACATCCGTCTGATTGGCTGATGTAAACAGTGCTCATAAAAGGTTAATTTAGTTCAGGTGAACTAAAAACCTGAACCCGAAGTTATCCACGCAATAAATATTTGATTCGAATCAAATGACATAAACTTGAATCAATAACGATAATTATTTAAATGATTTTTTGATTCGACGTAAACTTGAATTAATAACGATAATTATTTAAATGATTTTTTGATTCGACGTAAACTTGAATCAATAACGATAATTATTTAAATGATTTTTTGATTTGAATCAAATGACATCAACTTTGATTTTATTTTATTTGTTTTTTTTTTATTTTTTAATTTCAATTCTCTTTTCATTATTCTTTTACCCAAAATCAAACAATCCTTTTCGTTAATAATGTCATCAACTGAATCCACTCAATTTGAGCTTGATTCTGACACTATAGCTGAACACGTAAGCAAGATATTCTTCAGTGGTGGGAAATGCATGAAAACGAATGACCACATTTAGCTATGATGGTTAGAGACTATCTAGCAACCACGGCAACTAGTATACCAGTAGAGAGAATTTTTTCTGAAGGAGCCAATCTAGTTGTTTCAAAAAGATATAGTTTTAAACCGAATACTATCCGTGCATGCATGTGTTTGAGATCCTGTTTAAGAACTTATAAGAACTTAGTATAAAAATACACGTTAGAGAAAAGATTGTATCCTTGCTATTACTTTGCTTAATTTGCGGAAATTATAATAAGTATGCTCAGATTAAATTATAAAATTGTTATAAAATTCTTATAGTGTTATTTATCATAATTTTATGAATTAATTTTATAAATTATGACCTGATCTTCACGGAGGCAATCCTCTGGTTGGAATTACTGATGAAATCATAGTCGTAAAAAGTGTCCATCTGATAATTTTACTATAGTTCCTACTAACCAGTATAGCTAACCCTACCTCTAACGTCAATGCATTACGACCAGGAATTTCGGGAATTGCCCTGTAAAAAATTTCGGAGCACTAGATGTAAATCAATTACCCAACAAGTCATGCACATGCCGGTTAAGTGAAATAATGTAAAATGGTCTCGATTTAGGGCTTGAAATGAAATAATTATATGAAAAATTATTCAATAGGGTGATTCAGAACTAAGTTTCAAGTTTTTGATTTCGAATTAAATTAATGATGTATTTATTTCGAAATTAGTGGTTCATAAATATTATTTATTTTGATTTGTAAGCTTATTTATAAAATAACAATAATAATAATTAATACTTTTATGATCGTGAATTTTCTTTTAGGTCTTATATTTCGACAATTACATATTAAAGGCAAAATAGTATTTTAGAAACACTAATAAAGAATATCATAATATTATTTAAGAATTTTTTTAAAAAAATTTGTATTTCTTTATTAATTTATTAGATAATATCATATAATAACAATATCAAAAAAAAAAAGGCTCTCATTCGTCTCCGGATAACTCCTATTTCATTTTCTGCTTTCAAATTTTAAAACAGAAATAGGACATTTTGACCCACTTATTTTCGAAATAAGTTACGTATACAATATTGGGCAAAAATTGTCGAATAACGGTATTTTGGCTCAACCAGGCAAATGATTGGCTGACACGTGCCGCGAAGCGGCACGTGTCAGACAATCATTTGTCTGGTTGAGCCAAAATACCGTATTCGACAATTTGCCCAATATTGGTGTTATCCGGCAATTTATGATCATGGCGCCAATCCTTCCTCCCCCCTATAAATAGATTTTAGATCTAGAAAATTGATAATCATATAGAAAAAAAAAATTCTCTCTCTTTCGTAGGCGCAGTAACTTTTACTGGTAGCCTTTTTTTTAATATACATTCTTTTTTTACCTTATAAATAACGTAAAACATATTTCTGAACCCTTGTGCACCTTGTAATGCCTAAGTCAAAGGCTGTTATGAACGGTCCCGGTGATGTGGAGATGAATGCCAATTCATCATCTGGGGCCAAAAAAGCAATGAACAGAACTGTTTCAAGCGTGATCACACGCTCTAAGACCAATAACACTAAAAGGAAAGCCACTTTGGCTGTAATTAGTAATGAAAAGTCAAGCCTGGACGATAATGTTGAATTGACTGAGAGTAATGACGTTGAAATTGAAGCTGGTGGCGCTGTTTCTGTGAAAAATAAGGTAAAGCGCTTTTTTTTTTGAGCAATTTATTATACATAAACAAAAGATTGACACAAAGTTTTAGCGGGTTAGGTATAAGGAACCTACCTCTGAAGAACTTAAAGTCGTTCGTGGGAACGCAAGGGTGCAAGCAACGTATAAAGCAACGGAGGTTTGGATTAGGGCCCTTGAAGAGTTTCGTTCCGATGTGGGCTTTGAAGGCAAAATCGAAGAAATCGATTCAAAAGAGGTCCTTGAAGACCAATTGTCAAAATTTGTGTGTGCTATGAAAAAAAAGG